AAAGTCTTGAAAGTAAATTGGTGGTTGTGGTATTCTCGTGGGCTTTCTTTGTGCAATATGCAAAGATGCTGGAGTAGAAGAAGAAGAAGGAATATCTGGGGTAAATAGAGTGTTGGAATGAGGTGATGTAGGTGAATCATGAATGTCCGAGTAAGATGGATAATAGTCTAAATCAGTAGACTCATGAATTTTATGGTCTGCTGGCAAGGGAGGTTCAGGAATAGAAGTGGATGGCTCATATAAAGGTTTTGTAACTGTTGTGACAAAACTACTCTCATCTAGCTTAAATGGAAATGAATTTTTAGAGTATTCAACATCTCTACTGACAAAAATCTCATGAGTCTCAATGCCATAAAGCTTATACCCTTTATTTCCAAACACATAACTAATGAATAAAGTGTTTTTTGCTTTGGAAGCAAACTTCCTTTGATGTTCATCTAGCACAGTGGCATATGGCAAACATCCAAATACTCTCAACGAGCTGTAATCTGGTAGAATGCCATACAAGCACCCATAGGGTGATTTGTTATCAAGAATGGGGGTAGGAGTTCTATTAATCAAGAAAACAGTATGTAGAACCAAATGACTCCAAAAATTGGTTGGAACTCCATAATGGAACTTCAAGGCTCTAGAAACATTCAATAAATGTTGGTGTTTTCATTCTACTCTTCCATTATGTTGAGATGTTCCCACACAAATCATTTTAGGCAAGATTCCATTCGATTGATAGAAAGATGGCGTGTTAAATTCCTGCCCCTGATCTAATCACCCTAATGCTTTTGTTGAACTGGTTCTTTACCAAAACATGGAAAGATTGCAGTAACTCACGAGCTTCAGATTTGTTGCTCATAAAAAACAACCAAGTGCTTCTACTAAAATCATCAGCCACTATTAAGAAGTATCTATAACCATCATGGGAGACCACATCAACTGGTCCCCAGATGTCCACATGAACAATATCAAATACTCCATTTGCTATAGAAACACTTCTATCAAAAGGTAACCATTTCTATTTAGCCATATGCCACACATTACAATCACTAGAAGTAGGTAAAACTACATCACTACATTGTTTTCTAATTTCCTACAGTCTTGGCTAATGGAGATTAGATTGTAGCTAAAAGAGGGGACAAGCAATACATTTGTAAGGAACATACCACATTGCAACTTAACAATACCAATGTGAGTTACTACAACTTCTTGTCCTGTTGAAAGGGTTGCAGACAGGTTTTTAACTTCCATACATCTAAGGAAAAATTGAATGGAACAAACAATGTGATCACTGGCTCCGGTATCTAGTACCCAAATTGCATCATGGTTTGGATGATTCAAAGTAGTTAGTACATTAGTACCTGACATAGATGTGTTACTGGTAGTAATGGAATTAGCCATTGACGAAGGGGAGGGTGGTTGAGAACTGTGCAGCAAAGCTTTGAGGCAGTGAAGCTCCTTCGTAGTAAACCCTGAGAACTTGTTAGGGCTTTCTGGATTGCTTCTTGGACTATCATAAGTTTTCTTAAGTTTTCTTAAGCTTCACTGAAACAACGAAGCTTCTACCTCCTCCGAACCCTTCTTTGTTTTTTTTCTTAAGTTTTCAACAGTCTTGAATGACATGGTTGTCCTTTTTACAGTATCTTCAGAACAAACCTCCACTCTCATGTTGTCCATCTTTAGGAACCTTGTCCCTAGAATGTCCATACTGAGTTCAGGTGGCAACAAGAGCTGCTTCGAGAGCTATTGTTTCTTCAGATTTTCCAGTGTTACTACTGGCTCCGTTAAATTTCCTTTCCAGTTGTGTCACATATCAATATACACGGTCTAAATCAAGCAGGGGATCCCACATTAACATATGGTTTTTGACCTATTGGTAGTTCTCATTCAACCCCAACAGAATATGATAACCCTGCTCCGCTCTTGTTACATAATCACAGTTTCATATGTTTTGGAAGCACAACCACAATATGGAATTGGTAAGTAGCTACTATGCTCATCTCATAACAGCTCGAGATTAGTATAATACTACCTATGGTCAGATTTCCCTGTTTTGCAAGATCAATATTAACGTACACGTTTGTTATTCTCATAGAATCACATTGGTTGAACTTTGACCTAAGGTAATTCCAAGCTTTAGATGCAACTTTGATGTTTCTCAAGCTGGGCATTATATCTTCTGATACTGAATTACGTATCCAACACATCATTGTTCCATTCACACTATCCCAAGTTCCATAAACAAGTTCAGTGATAGCAGGTACCTCAATCGTTCCTAGGATGAAACTTAGCTTGTTTTTGGTACGTAAGAAGACCTCCATAGATTCGCACGACAACAAATAGTTATCATCATTTAGCTTGAAGCTTATGATAGGCAGAAATGAGTTATCACTCAAAGCCAAGTAAAAAAGATTGTTGTAGGGATCTTCGTATCAAAGCTTAGGATTCTTTGCATTTGTTTTGTCAGATCTAGAACCATCGCCTTTATTTGACATGGCTAGGTAGATGGGTTAAGAAAAGATTCAAGGTGAAATGGAAAGGAAGAATACATGGGTAAGATATGAAATCAAGAGAAAAGGGTATTTAGTGGCCAACTAGGCTCTCATACAATGAGAAAACTATTCACTTGCCTACTCGTTCACTACTCGTTCAAATAGGCTCTGATACAAACCAATCAATTCCATTCACACCTTCTTTCCTTTTCTCCCTACCTTTTCCTGGGAATTTCATTCGAACTCGACTATAACATAACATTGAGATCTTTTTTATCCGAATCTCAATGGACATGTTCGGTGAGAAGGGATATGAGCTCTTTTTTCAAGAAATTGGGGGTTCGGAGCAGAGACATGACTCGCTCTAGCTACAACATTCCCAATCGATAGCCAAGTATAACTGAAGGCTGGGTGTAGCATAGGGTAAGAAAAAATAAATTTTATCGAACCACGGGGATCTAAACTTACCTTACTTCAAGTTTAGGATTCGTTATCTAGCTCACCTAGGATAGTGATTAAGAAGACTAAACTAACTAACCTGGCTATTTACAAGGTTGGTGGAGCTCTCTTATCTTGAATCCCCCTAGTTCTATCATTTGGATCAATGTTGGGTACTATCCTAGCCCGATCGATTCACTACCCTACCGTTATGAGATCGATTCACTCAGGATTGACCCTGAACGACGAAGTGATGGATGGGTAGGTGCTCTATTCAAGCTAGAGTTTCATATATCACTAGGAACTTGATTGAATAAACTCCCTCGGGGATTACCCGGATAATATATGATAGGAGTGACCCGAAGATGCCAAAGTGGGGTTTAAGGGGGTTTTCTCCCTCCTAGGTCAAAAACTCAATTGACATGTAGAACTCATGCAATTCATGAAACCCATCCAACACTTAGATAATAAACTCAATAAAACATGGAATTTGTCACATACACCAACATAAAACCAATACCTTGAACTAGGGTTCATTGACCTAAGAGAAGAGGGCTAGTTTCTAGAGAGAGAAGAGAGAGAGATTACAAATTGGAGCACATTCCAATGGCAAAACAATCTGCCATTCCAAACCAAAATCTATCACCAAACCATGTCACTCATACTTTCTTTCTACATTTACTATTCAATATCAAGCACAAGAGTGTGGTAGGTAAACAACATGTCAGTGTTCCTATACCTTGCATGCCAAATAACACTTCTAAGAGCACGTTCAACAAGGGTGACTCGATACAGTGTAGATTGGCAGAAAATAGGGCTGCTCTATCTAAATCAATCAAACTCAAGTAACAAGAGCTACCTAAAACGAGAGAAACCCTTAGACACACGACTCAAAAGGGTTGAATAAGGGATAATATGATCAGGACAATCAACATTTTAGGTCGTGGACTAAACCTATGCCCCCATCTTCCTCACTAGCAACAACGCGAATGCTACACATCATGTAAAGAGGGATCTATCGCACAAGAATGAAATGAACGACACAAGTATCACATGGCTACCTAAGTTCTCAATCATTCATTCTAACTCCCTAAACTCAATGCATAGGCAACTATGGAAAGCGAGTAATCGATTCAAAATATCTACCGGTTCATAAACACATGAGAACTGAACCTATGCACAAACCTAATACAAGTCTCAGTCATCATAATAGGATTCACACAATCATAAACAAATCATCCATAGATCGATGCAAATAGCCACAAGATTCAAAACAAAACACCAAAGGTGCCACTATGATCATGCAAATGTAGAAGTCTCTATGCTTGGAGCCCTCAAAATTTGAAATTTTGGGCATACAACTACGCTCCAAAGCATTCAAAATCATACCAATAATTCACACATTGACACATACAAACATATATAATAGACTACTCCCCACACTTAAGCTCGACATTTCCCTCACTGCGTAAAATATGGAGGTAGAACAATGTTATCGAATAAGGTGTGAATATTGGTGGACGGGAGTAGAAGGCGGGTGAGATCTGGAAGAGCAATCCCACGTCCTAAGAACCACCAAAAGCTCCCCAAAGGTTGTATTATTGGATAGGAAAGAAAACAAACTGATGATGGTTGGGTTGCCTCCTAACAAGCGCTTCTTTAACGTCATGAGTCGGACGGTTGCTCTTCAAGTTTCAGTCCACCCAAGAACCTCCATGAAGTTGAGGTTCTTTTTAGTGAGGTGATGTCTCAAGTCACGAACATTGGAAGAATCCATGATTGAGGGCTCGTGAACTTTATGTGAATTGAGGCTCCACCCACGAGACCTCTTGTTCTTCTTTCTTCTCTATGTCCCATACCATGTAATGCATCATCGATTGACAGCCATCGCATCCTCCAAGAGGGATCGCTGATGGTTTGGCCTTGGCTTGGAAAAGAGCTACAATGGGTGCATCTCCAAAAGTGCATCGAGGTCAGGTGGAAAGCTTTGGTATCACTTGTAGCTTGTAGAAGCTTCATCCACCACAACGTCGTCCTAATCTTCGACCTTACTTGCTCCTTTTATATCAACCTCAACCTCCCTTCTTTAAAATTTGATTACTCCTTTTGGGAACAATCACGATCTTCCTCCTATTTAATGCTCACTTCCCCCTCTTCAACCTCTTCTTTCTCCTTCCCAGTCATGTCTTCAAAGTAGTTCTCGGGAAGGTGAACAATGCAAACTTCTTTGTCATCCTCACCACGGGAGCTCTACGAGGTGAGTTCATCTTGCTCCACACAGTTGTCATTGATCTCCCCTTCAACCTTCTCTTCTTCTTTCAATGGTGAGAGGCGGTGGCGTCACAAGCTCGTGCAGCCTTCTCTTCTAGTGTCAAACCGGGAGGAGGGAGGGGTTGGATATCCATGTTGGAGTATGCTCTTTCAAAGTTCTCCATGGCAAGCTCTAATTTGGAGTTCATTTCGGGTTGTGGGAAATCCAAGTTCGAGCACCCTTCGTTGGTGCCTCGGGAAAACCGCTCCACCATGAGCTCCAATTCACTCTTTGGCTCTGGTTGTGGACTGGCATATGGTCTTGAGGAATGTCCCATGAAATCCTCCATTGACAACTCCAACTTGGATTTCTCATCGGTTTGTGTAGGGAAGTTTTCTTCGTATGGGGAAGTGATAACACCAAAATTGGTGTTATTTGCCCCAAATATCGAGGTGTGTTTTGTGCCAATCCATGTGCTTAAATGCTTGAACATGGTCAAATACAACCCTATAGCATTCCTATTTGATTTCGATGTGACTTTAGGGTGCATTAGTTGATATGTGAAAATTAGGTACAAAACAAGGTCCCAATTATAGAGAAGGGGCCAGAATTGAAGATCATGGCTGAGAAACCGAAAATCACGGCCGGGATCACAAGCCACGAAGTCCAGTTGAAGATCGTGGCCTAGAAGCCATAGATCGCGATTGACTCGCTTTTACAGTCACACTAGAAAGTGGCCAAGTGTAACTACCTACTAATGCGTAGTATAGCAGGTTTAGCTTTATTTGTCAACCCGGGTCCTAGATGTGATGACTAGTCCATGAGATTCTTGTTATCTAGTTGTTTAACTATAGTGAAGTTATAACTAATATAAGCAAACACAAAGCAACATAGTTGTGATTCAAGTTCGACACCCATATATGGTTCCCCCTAGATTGTAGTTAAGCCGAGTTGTAATTCACCAAGTCCATATATGAAGGCAGTTACACTGCAGAATGTTCTTAATCAGCCTGAAGTCTCGACTAAAGATATCTAGATCCTCTCAATCTGATTACCCGGCGGGAGACTGAACTCTACCGGAGTAAACAAATTGAGGCCCTAATGTGCAAAACCTCATCTACTGGAATAAATCCAGTACAGAACAGTGAATTGACTCCTCGACTAAAGTAGTCAATTAAGGGTGCTCTATAAACCTAAGCAAATATTCTCTTTCTAGGTCAAAGCAGAAACTACAAGAATGTGATCACAATTCATGCAATTCATAAATCATGCCTCAATTGAATATAATCGATATCAAACGATCATGTACTTTGTTTCATTCAATTAAACTAACATACAAATCTAGGGTTCTTCATATCCAGGTGGGAGAGGGAGTTTACTCCATAGAGAGAGAAGAGACATCAACTTCAGATGCAGAAATCATCTTGTGGAGGATGATAATCAGCCTCTGGTTGTCAATCGGTGCTTCTCCATGCTTCAATCGAGCTCCAATGGTGTTGAATCTCAATCTAGGTCACCTTGGAGAGTGGGTTCATCACTTTCTCTCTCTAAAATTCTGTTTCAACTCTCAAAACTCGGATCCCATCTCAAAGACTCAAAATTGGGTTAAAACCCAGCTCTACCCGATTACATGGTCAGGTCACACGACCGTGTAGAAATCCAGTCTTCCCATGTAACTCCCAAAATCCGACGTTGCACTTAGTTGGTTGAGGGAAGTGACACGACCAGACCACACGGCCGTGTGAAATTGTCCCTTACCCGTGTAACTCTCCCGAAAAACCCACGCGACCAAAGGGTGCCCTTGCATGGCCAGTATGGGTGTGGTTGTGTAATTCCAGTTACACGGCCATACTACACGCCCGTGTAAAAGCAGTTATTGCCCGTACACTGCCACCTCGCACGGCCCCATAAAGTCATGAGCAGGCCGTGTAAAATCCTCAGCTTTCCGTCGAACATCTTAACTTCGTCCAATCAACCCCGAACTCGTTCCCAAACCTTCATTCACGTACTATGACCTGAAATATCACCAACAAGAACAACCTAGCGTGAAATCAATTTAAAGCACGAGAAACGAGCGTCAAATAATATAAGAATGGTGGACAAAAACATATGCAAATATAGAGTCATCAAATCCCCCAACACTTAACTATTTGCTTGTCCCCAAGCAAACATGGCTCAAACCAATGCAACTCTACAGACCTCTATAGCAACATGCAACCTCGATCGTCGGTAGAGGACTTCCTAGATCATTTAGCTGCTTATGAGGTCAACCAGTTTTCTAAGACATCCCCTGTTTCTCTCAATGCGAGTACTAGACTAACACCAGGATCATGCGAAGCAATGGACCTAGGACAGAGCACTTCTTTTAACTCCTTTTCCTCACTTCGCGTGGAGGGTCAATGAAATTAAGGGGGGGGGGGGGGTCGGAAGCTCTATCCGTGCCCTTAAAAACACATCCTCGAGTAGGCAAACCATTCAACGGGTGGAATTTTTACTTGTACTAGAGACTAATTAGCTTTACCTTGTAGGAATCTCCCACAAAAGATACTAAAATCTCTTCCAAACCCCGATTTTGTGCAATGAACGGTACCACACACGTTAAGCTTACCCCATGATCAAAATTTCGAATTTTCGACATCTTTAGCTAGATGCAACAGGTGGATGCTCAGAGTGGATTATGTCCAGGTGCCTCCAAAAGCGGATCCACATCGCTCTTGAGGTACAACTTCAAATGGTGGCTATGCACACGACGATTGTGCCCATCAGTACTTGACAACTCGACCTGGCCATCCGGCATGATGCAAGCGAGTGAATACTTGAATGGCCAGGGTGGTCGCGACTCAGAGGTTGGGACCAATTCATAGTGGTCTCTAGATTTCTTTTTGGTGTTTGGATGCCTCAAATTTTGGCCGCATCTCCTTCTTGATCTTGCCTTTTGGCAACGGGACAGACGAAAGTGGCGACGGAGGAATGAGAGGAGAATCTTGCAAAACAGGAGACACAAAAGGATACACGACAGACTCGTGAACTTGGTGAGATAAGGCATGCACATGCGAGACAACAGACTTATTAATGGCAATAGAAAATGTTATCTGCTCCTTGCCATCCCTCAAAACTAAGGTCCCATTATGCACATCAATAAGAGCATTGGCGGTGCCAAGAAAGGTCTACCTAGTATAAGGGTCACTTCTGCGTCCTCACTGATGTCTAAGACAACAAAATCCGCAGGATAAGAGAATATTGAGCAACTACTCAATATGATCCTCCTCGAATTACAAGGGCATTTGAGAAAGGTTTAGGTCAAGAAGTTCTTGAAGTGACCCCGCTCGTGTTCCATCATCCTATGGTTGGTCGAGAAGAAGAGATTTGCTGATTTGCTTCAATCAACATCGACAGAGGAATCAAGCAACACCTTGACGATCTCCATAATTAGTAACCAGCATTCCCATCTAACTCTTCCAGTGGCAGTAACCAGCAGCAAAACAGCAAAAGAAACAACACCAAACCTAGAAAATAATCAGCAGACAACATACTAAATCAGTCCATCCGTTTGTAGATATCAAAACAACCAACAATGAAAGGGTTGCAATTTCAATGGACAAAGGACCACCCACACTAGCATAAAAGGAACCATGTTCCTTCAGATGTTCTCTCTCTAGGTTTCCCAAGTACAAATTGACTTGTTCGATAGAAAACCCAAACACATAGAGAGACAATTCTGATTCAAAATTCACACATTTCACATCTTTATTTGAATGCATTTCACAACAACGGAAGAAGAAAAATCAACATGCAACCTCAGATTCAAGAAAGAGAGAAGTCAAAACACACCTCAATCCTTTGACATACGACCGTCAACTTCTAATCTAGCCGCCGGTGTGTGCATTATCAGCATACGTCTTGATTCAGGCATAATTACACATGGTTTACACCCTCATATCTTGATTGTTAGACTTGGTTATCATTGTTCCTTTACCTATTTTATGCTAGGTTATGCTTCTTTTGTCACATTTCAGGTCCTAGTACGTATGGGAAGGTCCAAGACAAGTTTCGGGTAATTCGGAGATTAAAACGAGCCAAAATTTGGAGGTTGTGCAATGTTCACGGGCATGAGGAAAATGTCAAGCCATGAGAAAGTGAAAATCTCCCCCAAAGAGTGAAGTTCAAGACTTCAATGGAAACACTCATTTATCACGGTCTCGAGATCGTGATAATCACCCTCGGGGAGTGAAGTGCAAGACTTCAAGGGCAACACTCATTTATCGCGGTTCTGAGACCGTGATAATCACCCCCAGACCATAAAGTTGCCAAATTCTAGCAGCCATTGGCGTCTCGCAAGCCTAAAAGATATCACAGTCCCGAAACTGTGAAAATCACCCCATAACCGTGAAAATGGCCCAAAATGGTGCGTTTTTGGCTGAGATCACCCTATGCTTGCTATTATGACGACAGTGAACAGTGGCCGTGATGTCGGCACTGTCGGGAAAATATAAAGAAAACATTTGGGAGAGAGAAGGGGAGCTAGTTTTTGAAGGAGAAATCAATTCTCTCTAGGGTTTCAACCTAGAACACCAAAAGGGAGTTCTAGTGAGTGAGAGAGCTCTTGAGTGATCATGAAGCTTAATTGAAGGCATTGATCAAGCTTAGAAGCAAGGATTCAAGCCTAGAAGAAGAAGATCTTGTACTCCAATTTGTAATCTCTCTCTTCTCTCTCTAGAAACTAGCCCTCTTCTCTTAGGTTGATGAATTCTAGGTCTAGATTTTGATTTTATGTTGAAGTATGTGACAAATTCCATATTTGATTGAGTTTATTATCTAAGTGTTGGATGGGTTTTATGAATTGCATGAGTTCTACATGTTAATTGAGCTTTTGACCTAGGAGGGAGAAACCCCCTTAGAGCCCACTTTTGGCGTCTTCGAGTCACTCCTATCATATATTATTTGGGTAATCCCTGAGGGAGTTGATTCGATCAATCTCCTAGCGATTTATGAAACCCTAGGTTGAATAGAGCACCAACTCATTCATCACTTTGCCGTTCCGGGCCAATCTCGAGTGAGTCGATCTCATAACGGTAGGGTAGTGAATCGATCAAGATAGGATAGTACCCAACATCGATCCAAATGATTAACTAGGGGAATTCAAGCTAAGAGAGCTCCACCATCCTTGTAAACAGCTAGGTTAGTTAGTTTAGTCTTCTTAATCACTATCCTAGGTTGGCTAGATAACGAATCCTAAACATGAAGTAAGGTAAGCTTAGATCACCGTGGTTTGATAAATTTTATTACTTGCTTACCCTATGCTACACCCGGTCTTTTGTTATACTTGGCCATCGATTAGGAACGTTGTAGCTAGAGCGAGTCAAGTTTTTGGTTCCGTTGCCGGGGAACCATTCTAGGTTATCAGAAAAAGGCTTAGGTCGTTACTTTAGCGGTTTTGTTTTAGTTTTTGTGTTTTGTTTACCCACTCTTTGTCTTGAAGGGTGGTTTGTGTTTGTTTGATTTTCTTTTTGTGTTTTTGTGTGTGTGTGTAGGTTTTGAATCACGCATCCTTACAACTTCACCAAAATGTGGAGGTATCCACCACCACCCGAGGGTGGTTACCCGAAGCTTCATGGAACAATCAAGATGGTGGAAGCCAAGGGTTCGGGTTCTTTTACCAACTTCCCTTCCAAGAAGAACAAGCATACCAATGGGGATTTCAAGAAGCTTCCTGATCACTTGAATCCGTGTAGGTTATTGTCAGAGGTTAGCACGTATCAACA